TTGGCTGCTGATCAGTTTCAGCGGCAGCTGACTTAGGGACACCTGGGGTAGAGCAGCTGGGGTGCAGCCAGGCTGGTCCCCGCAGCGCTGAGGTGCGGCGCTGTGGGGACCAACCCGGCAGCGCCCCAGCTGCTCTGTCCTAGGCATCCAGATTCAGCAGCTGTTGAAACTGATCAGCGGCTGATTCCAGGCAGCCCAGGGCAGAGCAACTCTGCCTCGGGCTTCCTGTAGTCAGCCGCTGGTCAGTTTCAGCAGCGGCTGAATCTGGAAGCCAGTTCCGACTTACATACAAATTCAACTTAAGAACAAACCTACAGTCCCTATCTTGTACGTAACCCGGGGACTGCCTGTATTACACAACTTTAAAGTACAAGGGTGCTGGAACAATTTATATAGTGGGGGTGCTGAGATCCATTTAACCAAACTGTAAGCCTGGTACATAATGAAAATCACTTCAAGCCACGGCATGCAGTAGCACCCCTATAATCTATAGTTTCTACTCTGAAAATATAAAGTGGCTTTGTGGGATTTGATCTTTATTATATTTCACTGATCTCACAACAAATTTGCCGTTAAAACGCAGGGTGAGGAAAGACTAACTTCTAGACCTTGCAAACTCATGTAGGCTCAAAGAGTCAAGCTAATGTCTTCCTTTCCTCACACATCAACACTACCAACAATTTTTTAAGCCACAACTAGGCTGTCAGTTAAACCTGTAAAATCCCATTAACTTCTCATAGCCGTGCAAAAATTGGAGAAGACATACAGAATGAAAAAAATTATTAGAAAATTCTAAAAAATATTAGGTTATTTAAAGAATAAGTAAAAACAGCAATAACTGGAGGGAAAAAAACAATAGCCAATTCCTTACCTTTATAGCCTTGATTGCTGCCTTGGTGATCTGTGTCATTTTAGCCTTCGAAATAGGTGGTTTGTATTCATTTAGTGAGTACAACTGGGGGGAGAAAGTGAAAGCTTTGTAAGAAGAGAGTAAAGAACTCTCTGAATGGGCACTTAACTTTGAAAATTTGTGCCTGTGTACTCCCCATAGTCATCCTAAAAGATGTACATAATCCTGACAGGCCAATTAACCTATAAGGCTGGGAAGCTCACCTGTTCAGGAAAAGACAGCATACCTATAAAGTGGTGGAGCTGGTGCCAGAAAGTCACTTTCCCTGGGAAGACGGAGAAAGGGGGATTTGGAATTAAAAAAAAATGGGGGGGGAGGGTTTGTCTAGCAGATCCAGAGGAAGAGTGGCTAGAAGAGTAGAGAATACAAGCCTAGGCTAGGCAAGGTAGAAATGTGTCTACGGGAGTAGCAGGGAGGTTTGTGGTTGCTCAGACCCTCACTACTGGACTCAAGGTCATGGGCCAGAACAGGGCAGTACAGGGTCAGGGCTGGGGTCAGTTAGCAACCACTGAGTGCGTAGCACAATCCAGGCAGGGAACTTGGAGGCAGTCTGGGACCACGTATTCTACCCAATGAGAGAGTGGCCCAGTCAACACATTCAACTTAAGGACCATCTTGTGAGAAAGATGCCTGTGACTTGGTTGGAGGGATAAACCATGAAGTTGAGGAACACAAGCTTCTGAGGAGCAAAAAAGGAAGCAGAAGAAGGGGACATTAGGCTGAAAGACCTAATACTAGAGCAGTCAGGAGGTGGCACCACCTAGCAGCACGTAAAGCATCCAGTGGCAGCCCCTTAAAAATATAGTTAAGTTTCAAATAATTTAGGCATAAAATTATCTGCCTCATTTGAGAATGGAGTTATACAACATAATTAGGTAACTACATATACAATTAATCATGCATTCCTAAAAGATACTAAATTCAATAGTAATTTAATAACTACACAGACTGTATTTCATCCTCTGTATTTGCACACACATCCCATTGTCAATAGTGAACCAACACAACCAAGCTCATCAGAGGTTTGCTGTGGACTGAGTGCAATATGTAATCCTAAATTTGAAGTCATGACCAATGGACAATAATTAAAAATATAATTCAACCTTCTCCCCTGACCAAGTTGGACATCCATAGTCCAAAGCTTCTCAACATTCATTTTCTTTTCTTCTTTCTGCCATTCTAACACGGATATAAGATGGTCAGGATGCTGTGATTTTTTTTATATACTTGTAGCAACAGATCATGGGCAAGGCCAGAAACACAATAATAAACCAGAATTCCTTCAAATTGTGCCTAGAACCTATCTACATAGGTCAGATTTTCTTTCAATTTACAAATCTATTTACAGTTACTCTTCCTTGCTATTTTATATGACAGAACTATTTTAAAAATAATTAGGGCTTCCCCACGGAAGCTCATGATATAATTTATTTGTTAGTCTCCAAAGGTACGTCTACACAGCAAGGCTAAAGTCGAACTAAGCTACGCAACTTCAGCAATGTCAATTGCATAGCTGAAGTCGAAACAGCTTAACTTGGCTTTTAGTGCAGTCTACACAGCAAGATGTCGAAGGAAGAACACTCTTCCTTCGACCTCCCTTACTACTTGTGAAATGAGGTTTACCATGAGTCGAAGTAAGAAGCCCTCCAGCTCAACATTATTTCGAAATAAAGGCTTGCAGAGTAGATGTGCACTATGATATTCTGAAATAACGCTGCTGTAGACTTATCCTAAGATGCCACAGGACTGCTCATTGTTTTTAAAGTTAAAGACTAACATGGCCACCCCATGAAAGAGTATTTTTAAAAACGTTGAAGTTGAACCTCTGCTTTTCTCTGCAATATCCTTCCCCATAACTGACTTCTGCTCCCCATCTCCAATTTTCTGCATTCCTCTCCTTGTCCCTCTCTTCTGAGATTCTGGTCCCCTTCTACCCTGTATCTCCCACTTCCCCCTTGTTTCCAGGATGCTTCGTCCACCCTGTATGTCATGGGTTCCCAAACTGGGGGGTGTGAAGAAATTCCAGGGAGATGCGAGGCGGCCCAACCCCTTTCCCCATCAAAATTTGAGGCGGTGTGAGGGTTTTTCAAAAATCAGAAAGGGGGGCATTATGCTGAGAAGTTTGGGAACCACTGCTGTATGTTGTCCGAACCCAGCAGTGGGATCATTAGCTCAAAATCTCTTTGCTCTTAAACCCAGTGGCTGGCACCAAGTGATTCTAGGCAGCCGGGACCAGCAATTGTAGGGAAGGCCCTGCTCAGATTTTGGGCTGAAGCATGCTTTGGAGTTGTGTAGTACTGGTACACATGCAGTCCAATCAGCATACAGGCAGTCCCCGGGTTACGTACAAGATAGGGACTGTAGGTTTGTTCTTAAGTTGAATTTGTATGTAAGTCGGAACTGGCGTCCAGATTCAGCCGCTGTTGAAACTGACTAGCAGCGGCTGAATCGGACACGCCTGGGGCAGAGCAGCTGGGGTGCTGCTGGGTTGGTCCAGTAGCGCCGCACCTCGGCGCTGTGGGACCAACCCGGCAGCCCCCCAGCTTCTCTACCCCAGGCGTCGGCGAGAAAAGACTGGTCTGTTGTGGGGAGGCGCGCGCTAGCTGCGCTCCCCCTGCCCCCCCCCCCCCAGCAGACTAGGGAGATGCGGAGCGGCTTTTTTCAGCAGACACCTCAGCTTGAGATGCGGAGCGGCTTTTTTCAGCAGACACCTCAGCTTGAGAATAAAGGACTGAGGGAAGTGAGGTGTGGGAGAATAAAATAGCTCTGGAGAAATATTTGGCTAGAGTTTCCCCTACAATATGTACCAGTTCCCTGGTGTGCTGGGGAGGGCACTAGCTCCGCGTCTCCCTGGTCTGCTGGGGGGGAGGTGCCTCTGGCGGCGACAGTGGGGGAGGCACCCCGCACTAGCAGGGCCCCGCCCCCCGGTTTGTAACTAGGGGTCCGACTTAAGTCGGACTGAGGTAACCCGGGGACTGCCTGTACAATTATAAATGAAAGGTTAAGTTTTCCTTAATTTGAGAATGATCAACAGTAAAAGATCAGTGAGATAAAAAAAATGAGAAGATGAAGCAGAGGCCCCAGAATTTGGACACAACAATCAGAGTCTTTGGGTGACAGCAGTTTCAGTGAAGTGAAGAACTGAAACTAGGCTGTAGGCATTAAAGGACTTGGCTAGCAAAGAACTCAAGGTAATAGTTACACACAACAACGTAGACGCTGGTGTATTTGTATGTGGAATAGCATATAAAGAATATGTATGCAGCTGCAGATTCACAAAGAAAATTACCTGCATGGATCTTCTCTTATGCTAACAGCCAACTTCAAAATTGTATTTCTCTTGAAGTAGTTGGGTGCACTGTCAACAAATATATCTGCAGCTGCATTTGTTACAAGGAGTCTGATGGCACTTTAAAGACTAACAAACATATTAGGTACCAGGACATAAGCTTCTGTAAGCAACAACACACTTCTTCAGATGATGAAAAGAAAAATATACCGCCTCCCCCACCACCACCACCACACACAAATGCTCAACTCAATTCTTTCCAGAGAAGGAGAAAAGTATTGTAAACTATTTTTCCTATAAATTGAAAGTCCGCACATTAAAACAGAATTTGATAATGGACTATAATTTAAACAACTGGTGTATTATGTCCCCAAAGCAGTGACTAGTAGATTGCAAGGCAACTTTTCTGGAACAATAAAGTTATTTTCTACTGTGTGTAGTTCAACACAGAGGATGCACACAGCCCCAAAATACATACTTTTGTGCAATTTTACAAGGTTAATTTAAGGTAATAACTTCAAAACCCTGACAGTTAGGAACTTTTTCCTAATGTCCAACCTAAACTTCCCTTGCTGCAGTTACAGCCCATTGCTTCTTGTTCTATCCTCAGAGGCCAAGATGAACAAGTTTTCTCCCTCCTCCTTATGACGCCCTTTTAGATACGTGAAAACTGCTATCATGTCCCCACCCCCCAATCTTCTGTTTTCTAAACTAAACAAACCCAGTTCTTTCATCCTTCCTTCATAGGTCATGTCCTCTAGACCTTTAATCATTTGTTGCTCTTCTCTGGACCCTCTCCAATTTCTCCACATCTTTCTTGAAATGTGGTGCCCAGAACTGGACACAATACTCCAACTGAGGCCTAACCAGCGCAGAGTAGAGCGGAAGAATGACTTCTTGTGTCTTGTTCACAACACTTGCACCCCAGAGACATGTCCCCAAGTTCTTTTACTACATGAGGGCTTGGAATAAAAAGAGAAAACAAACTGCAGTCTCTAATAGCTGATCCCTAAGTCTTAGGCATGCATACATAGACCTTCTGTTACCTTCCAGGACACAAGAATCAAATCATCTCCTTAAAAAAGGTGATTTTATTAACAAAACACAACAAGATATACTTGATAAAGCGTACTTGGTTGTTAGGTGTTACAGAGCAACTGGGAAAAGAACAGATTAAAACACAGAGATATTGTATCTCTGAGATTCAGTTTAATTACAGTATATGAGGAGTGGGCACATTTGCTTAGCGCAGAGAAATTTAACCAAACAACAAAACAAAGAAAATAACCTGATCATGACTAAATAGACATTTCCCTTTCTACTTATGATCTGTGCTTCAAGGTCCAGTCCGTTTTCATGCCCAGTACAGGCAGTCCCCGGGTTACGTACAAGATAGGGACTGTAGGTTTGTTCTTAAGTTGAATTTGTATGTAAGTCGGAGTTGGCGTCCAGATTCAGCCGCTGTTGAAACTGACTAGCAGCGGCTGAATCGGACACGCCCGGGGGC